GTTGAAATCAAGTGTATCGTGAAGTTATATTTGGAAAGAATAGACCAGTTTTATTAAGAAAGGACTTGTGTCGCTAAAGTTTCGTCGGAACGAAGTTACGGAAAATCAATTAACAAACGGAGACGTAACAATACTTAAAATGAAAATCACCTTGCTCTTGAAATATTCAACTGACTACTATGAGCAAATATCATATTTTTATTAGAAAGACATGATTATAATAATGTCATTTTTGTGTAAAAGATACTTATTATCTTTAACAAAATATTACCAGGTTTTGTGAGAAAGTATTGTTGCATAAATGTCCTTCCCCAGTCAAGATGACACGAAATGTGTCGCCCTGTTGTGAAAGGGTTAACTTCATGTTTTATAAAATATTGCTCATTAATGTAATATTAGTAATTATAAACAGACAACTCTATTTACAGTTAGTTAGGTCTGCTTTTCAGATATACTTTTCTACTTGCAGACTCTGGAGAGATCCTATCTGTTAAAGATTGATGGAAAAGGTGAGATAAAAGGTGATGTAAAGTATAATCTAAGGTATTGTATGAAAATGCTTTTAGATTTTCATAAAACTAAAGTGTTTAGAATGAATTTGAAATTGCTTATGAAAGGTAAAGGGTAACTTTCATTACAGAATTTGGTGTTTTCTTCTTAAAAACTGTAATGAAAATAAATTGGGTAAATGTTTTGAGAAACTTTTTATAATTTATTTGGAGTAGTATTCTTTCAGGCATCCTTGATAATACAGCTTGATAGTACACCTTACATTTATATTAAAAAGAATTAGGTTACTGTAAACTTAACACCATGGATTTAGCTATAACAATAATTCTTTGAGCTATATTTATCTTTTGAAACTTGTATATTTTATAGTGATTCCCATAATGCCCTTTTGTCACTAATGAATGTACTGGGGGAGGGGTAATAACTTTCAACAAAATAAAATTTAATTTAAATAGCATACAGCTCCATGTTAAGTAGTGTGGTAGTCCAAAAGGTTTCTTGTTAACATATATAATAAAAAATACCTGACAACTAGCATATGTTTGACTTTTGGGTATTTCAAAATAGACCAATATGGCCAGTTGTGTTTTTAAAAAGAAAAAGTTCTATTCTTAACAACTATAATTTGCTGTAAAGAAAAACTAACATTGTTGTATAAATTCAGCTTTGATTGCAGTTTATGAAAACAAATTATTTCTACTTTGTTGTCACATCCAATTGTTACCCTCAGATAAAATGTATGAATATGTATCAATTAAGTTTTAGGATCACAACTCAATGTTGGGTAATATATATATATTACCCAACATTGAGTCGTAATCCTATATATTTATTTGAAATGTTGTGTATCACCAGCTGTAGTTCTCTGCCTTTGTCACTTTTTAAACATCTAATGTCGTAATTTTGCAATAAAATAGTATTATAATGATGAAACTATTTGTTGGGCTGTAACTAAAACATAAATAGTGTTCAAGTGATTGAAAAAAACAAATTATATAATTTCTATTAATTTTGTTTCTGTCTTTACCATATTAGCCAATTTAATTCCAGTGATTAATTGTCAGTCTGATTAATTTTTGTTTATGTAAGAACAGTGGGTCACAGTTTTATTTTAGCTTATCTTTAAACTGTAGACATAAGCTGATTATTATTTTTTGAGCCTTTAAAATGATGGGTGAAAATCTGTTCATTTGATGTATTGTGAAAATGGGATGCTTGTTTGCAGTTTTGTGTTCCTCTAGGGGACATTGACAAACTTAGACTTTTACAATAATTTTAGCTAGTTTGCACCTATGGTTTAAAAGATGAGCATTGAAAAGCAATATCGTAAATTGTGAAGTTACTCATTTCTAAGTGTAAGATTACGTAAACTTGGCATAATAGAGTAGGAAATTCTTTCTAGTCTTGCACCTAATCTTACACTTATGTTTAATGCTCAACAAATGTATGTGAAAGTTGTTTTCATAACTGCAAAAGAAAACAGTTGCTAAATATCTGGACAGAAATGCCATCAACTGCATGGTTCTTAGTGTGTAGCAAAATTAGTAAAAAAAAGAAGGAATACCACTCCCCAGATTAGCTAGTCTCAGAACAAAATGGAACCTGATGAGATGGAAAAAACATCTATCTAAAGTTGTATTCAGATTGAAAGTTATTGTATGAAAAGAGAGTTTTAAAATAGTAAAAAAATGTGTATGTGTGAAATTAATAATGTGCTAAATTGTTTATAGTGGTTGAGAGACCACAGCACATGGTGATGAGAGTAGCT